CTTCAACAGCTCCAACAATCTTTACAGATCTGTCTACATAGAGCAGAAATGTCTCAAATCTATTCCTGTAAACAACTCTTTCATGGAGGTGTTGTTTTATTGGCCATCTCTGGGTGTGTTTTGTTGTGATATCGTTGCCCAGCCCTCAGGACAGGAGAAGAGGCAGCTTGGTAGCAGTAATGATATTCATGTTTCTGATGCTGAAAGAGGAGAACGCTGAAAAGAGAAATGACTCCTTCTCTTCCAGGAGTCTGGACAGGAAACACACCTCCTCGCTCTGGTATCCTCCTTCCTCTCCTCTACTAACTCTCCTCCTGTCCTCTCCTCTCTCCTCTCTCTAACTGGATTTCAAAGCGTGGTGTAACATCAAACATGTTAGCTGTTTTTTTGAATGTGACTCTAACCGCAACCAAGCTACAGACCATGGTGGCGTTTTTGTGACATCACCCAGCTTATGGCCAACCATGTGGCAGAGTCATGTTGCATTGGGCATGGCAGTTTGAGCAAGGCATGCTGGGAGAGCTTGTGCAAGGCCTGATGGGTAGTTTGTTTTTGCCAGTCATGAAGCAGATCTGTCAAGTCATGCATGCGTCTGTTTAGTCCTTGATTCTGATTGGCTGAAAGGTGGGGCATCTTTTGAGTGATGTGAGAAGACTTGAACAAAATATTTGACTCGGAGAAGTAAAGAATCATCACACAATCATCTGCTCACTCGTTTAAACACCGTCAAGGTTGTTCCTCAAGGCCGGGCATACACTCTACACCGGTCTGCAAGTGAATCCATAACGACGCACATCTTAGTAGATGTCACCTAGAAAAGATCATTTTGAAGAACAGACGTAACAACAGATCACATCAGGGGAGTTTCTCAACACTAGATTCTGTCTTGAGAAATAACAGTAGATAGAAAGTCAAACAGCTGTAACCCCATCAGAAAAAGAAAACTAGAATCTGTCAGTCTGGGATGAAGACAGCTGGAGTTAGACGTCTATCTCCCAGGATTCCTTCACCTTCATATTTTTGGTTAACTATTGGCTTTTTTTTGAATGGATGTTTTTGGTCTCCAGGCAACCATCATGTCAGGATCCACTCTCAGTCTGAACCATGACCCCACTCCACTGCGCAGCACCCTGGGACGTCAGGCGAGCTTCCAGGAACGCAGTAACTCCAGACCCCAGGTAACCAGACGACTCTCTTAAAGGGATATTTAATGTTTGTATCATTAGAAACTTGGTAGTATTTTTGAATGGTCGTGCATCCCGCCCTCATTTTCACCTGAGACTGGAAAAAATCTGAGTCTGAAAAGGAGCTTCCAGTATCACTGGAAGCTGTTGTGGTTAGCGGGGTGAAACTACAACGCTAGTTCCTCATATTTTTGACCACTGAAGCTACAGACCAATCACAGATCAGTGGGTGAGAACTCACTCCCAGAATCGAAACACGATCGAATTTCCCTCGGGGATTAATAAAGTATTTCTGATTCTGAACTAGAGGACCTTAGTGGGAGTGGCCTACGGTGCTGTGCATTATGGGATTTGGTGTCTTTCATCCACATGAACCAAAAAGACACTTTCTGTCTTTTCTCAGTCAAGAAGGAACCAACTTCAAAATGTATTTTACATTTCTACATATATGACCCAATGTCAACAGAGTCATGTTTCATGGTGAAGTATCCTTTTAACCTTTCCCTAGGAACGCAGCAGTTACATTAATATTCCTCAGGCTTACTCGTGTGTATCCTTCCAGGTATCAGCTCGATCAAACACCTTGCCCTCCGACCCGCAGCGCCGAGCCTTTGCCATGAGGA